TTATAGACATGATTTTAAAGTGTATAAGTGTGTAACATTTTAGGATGTGATGTCAAACCTGTAGATTCAGGATCGAGCCTCCTTTTTTCGGCAAAAAAAAAAAAAATACAGAATTTTTTCAGCTGGTTTTAGGGTCAAATTAAATGAGTTCTTTGTATTATGCTTGCATGTAGGACTTTGGTTTAAGAAAAATGCAGTATAAAATGCACTTTTCTGCTGAATTTTAAAAGCATTATCTTTCTATGTTAGATGTTGGGTGACTAAAATATTGTTTTAATAAATATATCTGTCTATTAAATCAGTTTTGTTTAAAATGCGTCAAAATATATAACCTATATTCACTAAGAAATGGATTAAAATGTTTTTTTTTTTAAATGTGGTGTACTCAATTATGCTGAGCACTGTACAGTTAAAGTCAGAATTATTCGCATTCGGTGTATTTTTTTGCCCTATTTCTGTTTAATGGAGAGCAGATGTTTTCAGCACATTTCTGCACATAACAGTGTTAATAACTCATCTCTAATCACTGATTTATTTTCTCTTTGTCATGATGACTGTAAATAATATTAGACTAGATATTCTTCAAGACACTTCTATACAGCTTAAAGTGACATGTAAAGGCTTCACTAGGGTAATTAGGGTAAAGTTAGGGTAATTAGGCAAGTCATTGTATAACAGTGGTTTGTGCTGGAGACAATCCAACACTAATATTGCTGAAGGGGCCAATAATATTGACCTTAAAATGGCTTTGAAACATTTAAAAACTGCTTTTATTCTAGCCCAAATAAAATAAATCAGACTTTCTCCAGAAGAACAAATATTATCAGGCATACTGTGAACATTTCCTCAATCTGTTCAACATCATTTGGGAAATATTCATTCACAGGAGGGCAAATAATTTTGACAAATGCAATAAATGGTAACAACACAAAAAAATGCACATTTGACCTCAAATCATCTGTACGGGTTTACCTTGTATTTGTCTTGAACTTGATCTTAATGAATGCTGTCTAAGAGAGAGAACAGCAGGTTCGAGAGCAGATTTGCTCTTCGTCAGCTGCTGTTGTTCATGAACACAAGCTCTCAAACAAAGCCTCCGCTGCTGCTCCTCTATAGACCTGCACTGCTGAACGCATCAGAATAAAGGCGCTCCCACAACCCTGCTGACCCCTAACCTCTGCCCCCTGACCTCTGGACAGACGGACCCCGAGCAAACCAATGCAAACCCCCTTCAGCCTGAGCGATGCAGGACGTCCTGGTCACATTGACTTTCTTCAATTATCAATGTGGGGGTTTATCCATGTTTCTACATTTTGCAGTTCTGTCCTGCTGCTTGTACAAGATGTAAAATGCATCTCTGGTGTATCTAGAGTGAGTTTCATTCAGCCTGAGCTCAAAATAATGCTCTCTGAAACTGACCCTTTCAGGATTTAATCCTAATTGTGGTGCTTTGGTGACTGCCGCTTTAAATGCAAATGAGATTGTGCTCTTTTCAAAAGAGGGTGGAGCTACAGACGCCTGTGTTAAGGCACAGTGATATGTTATATGCATGTGTGCATCAGTTTGAGTGTGTGCTTCATGCTTGTGTCAGTCTATGGCTTCATCTAAAGCTCCACATCTATAATCCTCTGAGTCTATGCTGACGTTATCTTCAGCAGCTCAAACACTCTAATGACTAATGGACAGACGGCTGCTTCTCACTCAGGGCTGCTGGAGATGCTAATGAGACGGGCACTAGTGGGCGGGGCTTTCCCCATCTGATGAGGGAGAATGCTAATCAAAGTGTTTCCTTCATCAAGTCTGATCATAAACAATACAATTAAATGATGTTCACTATTAGAAGCTGCTTATATTCACACACAAATGTGTTTAAACCCCTTAAAAAAGTCATTTCTGAATGATAGGTGCTCTTTAAATCCAAATATGAACCTGTATGTCATATAAACACACCCACCTGTGATTGTAAGCCGGGCTCTGTGGCTGATGATGGCTCCGTATTGGTTGTTAGCGATGCATTGGTAGTAACCCTCATCTCTCTGCTGGGTCAAATTGGACACACAGAGCGAGCCGTTGGACAGCAAGCGCACACACTCGCTCTCTTGGATCTGGACGCCGTTTTTCCGCCAACGTACGCTTACGGGAGACTCGCCTCCGGCCTGACAGTCCAGAACAACATGCTGACCCGCAGATACACTCACATCCTGAGGCTCGATGGAGAACCATAACTCACTGAAGCCAAACACACCTGCAGGAGGACACACACACACACACACACACACACACACACTGGGTTAAGCAATGATGCTACACACTCTGCTGAAGTTTACACATATTTACATCACATTTTAATTCTTGCTGTAAGTGCTGATTAACAGAGACTTTTTGGCACATTTATAGAGATAATTGTTTTAATAAATAATGTCTTATGACTAAATTCTTTTGTCTTCGCCATGATGACAGCACATAATATTATGAGGTATTCTGCAAGATACTAGTATTCAGCTTAAAGTGCAACTTTAGATTAAATAGGTTAGTCATGAATAACTGTTGATATTGTAATTATTTTTATTTAAATTAATATTATACGTTCATAATTTTTATGTAATTAAATTATTTTCTAGTTAGTTAATAATAATTAAAAATTCAAATTTAATTTTAAACAATTAAATATTATTTATATTATATCAATATTTTTATATTTTATGTTATTTTGTTACTATAAATATTATTTCATTAAATCTTTGCGTAGATTATTTTTAGTTAACTAATAAAACATTTATTTAATATTTAATATTTAATTGTATTTAAATAATTATTGTTTTTTATATTAATTACATTATATCAATAGTTATATTAATATTTATTTTATTAAATCTTTATTTAATTGAATTATTTCCTATGGAATTAATAATAAAATATTTATTTAATAGTTGATTAGCTTATTTAAATTATATTAATTTATATAAATTATATATTTATTTAAATGTATGATAATTTTAGTATATCAGTATTTATATTCATATTTATTTTATTAAATCTTTATACTAAATTATTTTATATCAAATTTATTTATTATATAATAATATAGTTAATTCATTTATTTAAATGATGTTAACTTATATAAATTATATATTTGTTGAAATTTATATTAAT